TCTAGAACCTAATAAATGAGTGTTTGAAAGATAAAGTATGTGGTGTATTTTCATAATTTGACTGTAAGGAGGAAAATCAGTATGGAGAGGAAAGAGCCCTCTACTTCTGAAGTGGCCCACATTGGAGCTGAATTGGCTATTTTTAAGGGGGTCATTTGTGAGACAGCTGAAATTTTGGGGGCCTTTTTGGCCCTTTTAAATTCTAATGTGGCTCCAGTATTTTCCAAATTAGCTCTTCACAAGGTCAAATTTGGCCCTTGCAACTGGGTCAATTTAGCCCAGATCAACTTTGATTTTATCGAAGACCTGACAAGAATTTATCTGTGGTCTGCCAAGACGCATTATTCATAAAGGAAAAACAATGAAAGCATCGTTCAGTCTTAGCAAATCTATCTACACACGAGTCTTTACCAGAATCTTACCTTGTTCCTCGATTGAAGCGGCTAGCTCATCGCGTCCGACGTTTCTAAGTAGCCATACCAAATAGGACACGTCTTCTAGGCAGATTTTATCGTGATAGCGTAAGAAGCTCAAAACCTCGCGTGGGTTTTTGATAGCATGGAGCTTTTCTCGTGGTAAATAATTATTGGTTTGTGGTCCGTCACAGAGAAATTTCATTTTCTCCAACTCTTCCTCTGTTATTTGGTCAGCAATCTGTGCCAAGAAAGCATTGAACTCTGCTGTATTTCGAGCGGGTAGCAAAATATTCAGTGGTCGAGTGGATTGCGCCATTTCTGACAAAATGTCCCGTTTTTAGTCACGCAAACGAAGCAAATTTATGACTGAAAGCCACAAAATGTTGAGGGCGAGTCGAGACAAGCAGAACGGCCCGGAAATTGACACCTGATTACATTTGAAGGCAAACTTGATTGCATATATAATTATGAATGGAGGGGGGTCAGTGTTGCGGAATTCGTATAGCCCCGCTCGCTGGTTCAAACAAATCAGGAGGACTGTATCTTTCGATGTAATAACACGATTTACTCCATCCCAAGAGTCTATTGCGATATACAATTCTCATATATTCAACGGTCGTAACACAGCGATCAAAGCTCAACGATCAACTAACACATTCTATGTATAATGAGGTTTTTTCTACTATCCTTGCGTCAGACGGTATTTTTACATTAATCACATGCACAGTAAGAGTTCCCGTTGTAATGTATCTAAATTAAGTGACTATTACAAAATCGCAGGTTCTTTCACCTTATTTAGCCTGAGAAAATCGGGCTAAATAAGAAAAAGGAAAATCGTAAACATACTCGGACTTTGTCTACATTATTGTGAAATCTAATGTCACGAAATCTAATTTCTTTGCGTTACAAATGTCAATTTCTAATTAATATTTAATCACAAATAATCAATTTAAGCATTACCTATTTATTTCCCGTTAGTAAGTTCCTGTGGAAACTGTGGTGCTGCGTTGGTAGGGGAAAATAACAGAGTAATGAATGAGTTGCCAATGGTAGATCTGGGATCGCCACGGGGTAAACAATGCAACTCGCAAAGATCCGATTAGTGGCAACTTATTCAGTCAGTATTATCGACTGAGAGAGAAATTCGCTCTGACGAAGGGCTAACGTTCGAAACGTCGGCTTTGAAACTCTTTCCAG